CAGAGTAAGTAGCGTTCCCTACAGACTTTGCAGATACAGCAAAAAAATTTTAATTAAAACAAAAATAATGAGAAATTGGAGATGAATGGGAAAAAGGAGTCCCTTCAACAAACCCAATATCCAAACACAGGTGTGCTGACATCTGGTTAATGCTACTGATGCATTACCTCCCCAGCGCTTGTGTGGGAATTGATGGTTATTTTACAGGAGCCACCGCCATGGCAGTACACTGTTGTGGTCATTTCTTCACGGGTGAGAAGAGCTTGTATTTCCTCCTGGGAGGGCACGAACTCCCTCGTCTTTGTTCTCTTCAGGGAATCACTTATGAACTGCGCATACCTGTCTATTTCTGAGCCTGGAAAGAGGTCTTTTACCCTAATTGTAAAGAGAAGCAAAAAAACCCATTACACAGTGAACCAGAAAGCACGCACGTGACCATATAACTTGGACTACTGTACGTAAAGAGCTCAGTAGAGATGGTGATGTCAAGTGCAACCACAGGAAGAATGAGCCTGCTTATTTCCTAAACCACACAACCTGATGTTACTCGTCACTCCAAAGTCACTTCAGCAGCATTTCTCAGCACCGTACAAAATAAGTAGTTCAAACTTTCAGGCGTGTAGTACCAGCTGAAGATAGCAGAATTGACTATATCAACTTACAAAATTGAGATTAAAAACTATGAAATCAAACGTAAACTTTTTTCATTTATTCTTAATTTTTTTTTTTTATTTGCTGGCTGGACTTGAGCCACTTTTACAGTATTTTTCAGAATCAAGAAGGTAGAAAGTAGATGCTTGTACACAGTTCTCTTCCCTCCAAGGCCAGCAGTTCTAAGTATAACATGATCTGCAACTCCAGTGATAAAAACATGAAATGTCAACATGAAGTATTCCTCAGTATCTCTTAGAACCAGGCCCTGGATATAGCTATTTGGTGTATTGGCACAAATTTCACCTCACTCTGTCCTAGCTTGGAAGGAATCAAATAGATTTTATCGATCTTTCTCATCATTAATGAATAGAATGAGACTACATGGCTGCAGCTCAGCCCCAACACAGACTGCTTTGGAAAGCTGCATTAGATCCTGAACATGAATTGCGAAGAAATGTAAATGATTTAGTTCATGAAAATTGGAGGTTAAAGCAGATTAGAAAAACAAATTGTAAGCATTATATGCTTAGTTAAGCAAACAAATATTGAAAAATTATAAATTGGGTTTACAGTATATCTACTACTCCACAGTACACATTCTGACTGCAGCAGCTGCAAGGTAGTACATATTTCAATGAATATGAAAGTACAGTCCTCACCTTTCCTGCAAGTTGAGGATGTTTATATGGACATTAGTAAACAGTAGGTGATGGGCTGTAAGTCCACTTTTAACACAGTTTCACTGTATTCTGTTTGGGTAGCCTTACTTTCCACATCCTTTTGACACAACAGATAGGTAGCAAGGGGGGCGTTTGAATACAACAGAACAACTGGTACCAAGAATTGTGCACAAAGGCAGGAGGCTGCGACACCACAGGAAGATGTTTACCCAGGAGGAGGGCGAGACAGGTTAACTACAACAGGCAGTGGAAGACAAGCAGAGAGAAAGGACAGAGGCTGCAAATGAAAAGGACGCGTACCTTCGAAGGTGGAACTTGAGGTAGCGAAGGATCCCTCTACTGGGCAGAAAAGTGCAGCTCATACATGACATCAGCTGCCAGTGGTGCAGGTTCCCAGTACTGTTGGGATGTGGCATGTGATTAGTTTGTTTGATGAGCTGACAGTAGACTTCATCACGAAGGGGCTTTAAATCATGGCAGGTCTGCAGAATGCCTTGGATAATGGGTATGGGGTCAGACACTGTCTCGATTTCCTGAAGGGAGTTAAAGATCTTCACTGCTTCATCCTGTAAGCTGCTGTAACCCTTCTCTTGTTGCACTGGGGAACGATCACAAAGGTGACAAGAGGTGAGCATCTCCCTCATTTTCTGCTGGCCCAGCAACACTACTAGCGACTGTACTAGTCTGTCACAGAAGAACAGCAACCTGAGCATTAGCTCATCTGAACTTAAATTTATACTCAAAATTCATTAATGCTTCCCCTTTAAATGTGCAAATGCAGTTTTAATTAGTATTAGCCAACATCTAACTTGTCACCACTGCAAATCCATTTTTGGATATACTATGCAGAAAAGCAGAGTAATGTTTTTAAGGGGAACTAGCATTGAAATCTAGTTCAGGCTTCAGCGTCTGCAGATGAGGCACCAAGAGACAGCTTGCAGCACCTCACCTGCAGACAGAGGTGAAGGGGTGGCAGAAAGTCACCTCTGTGTAAACCGTCTCCTCACCTGAGAGCAGCTAAAAGGAGAGGGTCACTAATGCAGTTAAGGCTTTAGGTGCCTGAATGCAGACACGGAAGCCTGGCTTACGTACTTCCAAAATTCTATGTTGTGCCCGTATTAGTTTTGACCCCTGAGCCAACACAGAATTTTGGCAAATTGCTGTGCCACGGATGCAGCTTTTACCTATTGTTCACATTTAAAATGCCAGCACCAACACTGGTTACATCTTTTAAGCACCTAAATGTCTGCTTTGAATTGCTCAGAAGTATGTAATACTACCATACTGCTGCAGGCTTGCATTCTCCTTTGCACACCTCTGGGGTTGTACGTCTTTCTGAATCTTCTATACAGCCATTGCTTCCCCAGTGGCCAGGCATTAATTGCATGATACAAATACACAGCCCTGTAGCTATAAGTTCCACCGTGTAAGTACTTGCTCCATCATTTTTCTGTATTTCAGAACTTATTTTTTCTGTGCTTTCAATCTACCACTTAATTTCATCCTTGTATCATGAGAGACAGTGAGCAGTTACTCCTCTTTCACTTTCTCCATGACAGCTCTAAAAACTTCTTTTTGAGGCTGAAGAGTCCTGCACTATTTAGTCTCTTAATTGTAGGCAAGTCTTTCTATGCCTTTGATCATCTTTGAGTAGGTTTTTACTTCTCCTGTATCTTTGTTAATATGTGGAAGGCCAAGCTGCATCCCGTATTCAAGGTGCAGGTGCATGATACATCAATACAGCCGCACAAAGACTTTCTTTTTCCTTTTCTAAGCTTTCAAAACCTTGCATTAGCTGTTTTGTTTCTGTGCTCAGCACAAGAGTTGACATTTTCATAAAGCTATGTAAATTTGTGTTCACTTTCCTAAGCAAAACTGGATCACTCAGACCCATTACTGCCTATGTGGCAGACTGTTTTTCCCATATACATTGCTTTGCATATCCAGATTGAAATTAATTTCTGAAAAGATTTTGTGGCCCAGTCATTCCACGCTAGAGATTCTTCTATAGGTCTTGAGCAGCAGCTTTCAGCTTTCATATGCCAGTCTGGAATCGTCAGCAAACCACTTTGGTTTTCTGGTGGCCTATCAAACAGTCTAGCTCTTTCATGTTCCTGAAGCATCTGAAGAAAGGATTAATTTAGTCTGGTTTTACAGCAGCTTCTGTATGAATGTTATCCCACTGCCGGTTGCATGATGTAATCTTGTTGTAGGGTTTGCACTGGAGCCATTCGCAACCCAGTTGCGGCTCAAGGATGACAGGCTGCACCTCCCCTGGATGGATGACAAACTATCTGCCCCCACTTACTTCAAGATTCAGTGTTCCTAAGATACGAGGCAGCGGACACAGAATACATTCTGAGTAGAGAAAGGGACTGCTCCCTCTCTCTGAACCCTGTGGGCTATACTGCCCCAAACAGACTTCCCCTCCATAGAGAGAGCTTACAGAGCACTTTCGTGGTGCTCAGGCTCCACACTGATCCTCAAAATGTGAGCAGATTCTGTCACATGGGTAAAATACTTACAGTTGACACTAACATCTCCATACGGTAGCGGGAGCAATGGGGAATGCAATGGGTGCTGGGTATATCGCAAGATTGGGTTCCTCCTATACGTCTGTTCGACTACTTCAAAGTTGGTGCTGTTTTCCTGAAAAAAAAAAGAAAAAAAATTATCCTCAAATGGGGATAGTCTTTCGCAGGATGTCCTTACACATTTAGGTTCAGGCTCAACCACCTTTATCTAAGTTTCTGGAGGTCCATAGAGGGACTAGGTGACCAAAACATAACTCACATATAAAAGTTACTCTGTATATTATTTCTGAAAATTACACATAAGAATAGCCGTGCTGGGTCATACCAAAGGTCATCAAGCACAAGATCTTGACTTGAAATGTGGCTTGCAGCTGATACCTAATGCAGGCATGTAACAGGCATGTATGGCATGATTCCTCCCTGGCATTTCCTTCAAACTTTCAACAGTAAATGGTTAATGGACTTTCTGACCATAGATCCACCATGTTCAGTATGTAATAATGAGCCTGTCCTCCCTGAATTTCTCTGGTTATACTATGTATGTTTACAGGATGGACAACCAAAATGCACATGGTGTGCAAAATCTGGGCCGGTCACTATCACACACACCAGCATCATAGTCTTCCACATTTTATCCTGTATTCCTTCCCTAACAATATTTAACATTCCATTTGTCCTTGAACCCTGAGCTGAAGTTTTCCAAGGTTCTCCACAATCACTCCCAGCTCTTTCCTTCTGAATAGTCACTATCTAATTGCACCTAGTTTAGAGCTCATCACAATGTGTATGTTTACACACACATATCTGGGTATGCTTTGGTCTGTCTTCTAGTATGATTCTGAATTCAATTTGCCAGTTTCTGGAAAGAAGCCTTTTAAAAAATTGTTGTTTTCTTTCCACCCTTTACTCTGCTATTTAGCCACACAAGCCTAAGGTATGAAGAGGACTTTAGGGTACAGCAAAGTCACATGGCTGGTAGGAATGGAAATTTTTGTATTTGTGTCCAGAAGATGCTTAGGGAGAAGAAAGGATGCAGCAGAGATGTGCAAATGCTTAATGGTGTAATCCTGCATGCAATTTGTAATTACACAGTAGTTGTAGCCTAAACTTATGGAGATCAGTTAACATGCTAATTCAAAATAAAATTCACATTAAGATTTGATTATTTAGTTGCACAATCATTTAGATTTCTAAGAAATAATTTATTTCTGGCATTTCTTGCCAGATTCTCAGCAATGGCTGGGTAAGGCCAGCAGTGATGTGGCTGCTCCCAGTTCACTTGGGAATGAACACAATGCCACCTACCCTGATGTCACGAATTAGTTGCTGTGTAGGTGTTTCTATGGGAACTTTGCTGTCAATGACACCTTGAATGGCAGAGGCCCAGCGCATAGCTTCGTTCAACAGCTTCGTGTACAGTCTGTAGGAGTGCTTTCGCCCATGGACAATGATGTTCCAATAGCCTGTGGAGACATGAAGAAGCTGGAAGGTGAAACTTGGTTCCACGTTACCTTCTCTTTTTGTCTGTGACACGTGGCTGAGAAAAACTCTTCCTGCTTTGATAGCCACATATGGTGTGTCCGGTTAAAACTCACATCCCCCATTCCCAAACCATATTTATCACCAGGAAGGTCCCAATCTGGGTGCTGGCACAAAGACAGCTTTCCAAGATACAAGTATCTCACAGCGTTAACATGAACACTTCCCTGCCGACCAGGCAGCTCACTTTCACAGACAGGGTTTGGGCTGCACTGTACTATTAATCACTCAGAAAATGACCACTCTATATACAGCACCCAGTCAGATTGCCAAACCAATTCTCATAACTTTTAAAAATAATATGTTTGACATAAACCGAGAGAACAGGTCAGGGTGATGACAATTCACTCTGCCAAAGGCAGCCCTAGACATCTGTTGAGATCAAAAACATGGATGATTTCTTGCGAGTGAGCAGAATAAATTTCCTCTCACTTTACTACATGCTTCCAGTCTGCTTTCAGCCCTTTTTAAAAATATCCCAAGTTACTCTGGTATTCAGAAGTCCAGTATTTCAAATCTTGTTCTAAGCTTTATCTTCTTTATCAATGGGATTCAGCCCTCGGCTCATAATCCCAGTTCCATCCCAAACTCATCAGGCATGCAATGGAGGATCATGCCAGATCCTGCCTTCCCAGAACTGCGTCACGCCACACAGAAAGTAAACATAGGCCCTTGTCATCTTTTGGTTCTAACAAGTTGAGTGATGCTACAAAAAAAGACTTACAGTGTATGCCATTGCTGTTATTTAGGAGAATAACATTGACCCCAGAGATAAATGTAGGTCATGCTACAAAGTGACAGTTATTTATGGAGATGTACTGATAATTACAGTGGTAATCGTTATTTACATTTCAACTTCAAGAACTCATACCCCTTTCACAAATTTGGGAAACACTCAAGATAAATGGCGACACTACTCTGAAAAAACATCAGCACTGTGTATCTCTGTCGAGCGTGAGGGAATTAGCGTCACTTGCACACTGTTCTCTGGCCCTTTGCAAGTCTCTTACGGTCTCTGTGGGGAAAGATGTTTTGCAGCCAGACGCAGAGCCTCAGGTAACATCAAGACCACCCCTCAACATGGCACACCATGACATTCCTGCACTGTCCCCTCTTCAGGCAACTCCACACACGGAGGGTCTGCTCATTACCACTTTCATCCTCTCACCTGTGTCTTTGAAGACTCTCTCATCGGGCTGCACTACAGAGCAGAGGCTATTGAGCACAAGCGTGCCAAGCTTGGCAGCTGTGCGCTCAGATGACTTGTAGTAATCGAGGGCAGTGTTTGTCAGAACAAACCAGCGTTTCTTCATCTTCAGAGAGGACATCTTGTTGCTGCTCTGAACCTCTTTATGAAGCCAGCCTAGCACAGGAACACAAACATGTCAATGGTTGTCTTCAACCACCACAGCAGTCCTGTATCTTGCCTGGTGGCTCTCGAACTCTGGGACCAGAACTCCACCTCTCTGCAAAAGGCTCATGCTGGGACCTACCAGCTCTGCTTTACGGGCTATAGCAGTATCCTCCACAGTCACTGTAAGAAATTAGCCCAAAATTTTCCACAGAGCTGTTCCATCCTTCAGCCCTACGTACGTTTTTATCAACGACCTGTGGTTTAGTTTGCCATCACCATAAGGGCATCCTCTATTCAGGATGCTTCCCTCACAAGTCACAAACTTCTGAATAAATAATTTACAATTCATTCTTCCAAAGAGATGGCAAGTGCCTATCCAAACCTCGATGGAAGAGGTTTGGTGATACATGTCTTCTAGTAGAAAGATCTGTAAGCATTACATGCATCTCTTCCTCCCACAGTCAGGAAAAATAATTTCTCTCTCATTTTAGATTCCTCAAAAAAGAAAGAAAAAGAAAAGAAAATTCAATACTATAAAAGAAAAAATGACAGTCTGCATTGCTAAAACTGTCAAAAAGACAATTTTCTATTCAGAGCTGTAAAAAACAATGTCCACCCACAAGGCAAAAAGTTCAAAGAATGTGGGACTGAGCCCAGAGGTTCCACATAAAGAAAAAGAGATGGACTTTCCTGATTATATGCCTTCCTGGCTACACCACAGTCACACAGATATCTTACTGTGAAGTGCAGAGCATACATTGACTTTGCAAAGGAGCATTCCTTTTTTTCTTTAACTAATGAACAATATGAGATAAAAGGCACCGTTGCCTTGCAATTAAGTATTTTGAATTTAAGGTGCTCAAACTGTTGTCTGATAATATGCTTTATATCACTCCATCTCCTTGAAATGTTTAAGACTAGGATGAAAGGCTTATGCCACTGTTTGGTGACCCTTTTCTTCCTGTCCTCCTGCCTTGCCATGACCACTCTCAGACCTTGATTCCCTCATAGATACTTTCTGGAAGATGTAAGGCAATTTGTTCATGCACTTGCTTTCCACAGATTGGATCAGAAGTGTCTCTGTATGTTTAAGACCATGTGAGGAGCTGAAAGTACTAAGGAAATTTAAAAATATTTGAAACAAACAGGAATATTTTGTAATATGTGTGTGATCACTACTCATGCATCAGCTCCTCCATCTCTAACTAAGCTCTAAATAGAGACATCATAATTTAAATCTTTTGCTTAGCCTCAGAGAATTACTCTCACCTCACTATGTCTACCAGAACCAGGTTAGTTTGTTTAGCTGAGGAGAGCAGCAATCCCACAAAGATCTCTCTCCCTCCCTCTCTACATGACAGGTGTCAGAAGGAACAGAGCTTTCTGAAAACAAAAGCTGCAGTGTCATGTTATAGTCAGTCTAAGCCAGCTGCTCCGAAACAGCAGCCATGCTCCCTCCTATTCCCTGATGGCATTTGCTGGACATGTTGAAATAGGCTCTGGAACTAGCATCAGAAAACTAAACGTATAAAGAAGTACTTATTTTTTTCCAGCTGAAGCTTTCTGAATCCACCTGACAGGGAATCAGATAAGAGCCAGTGCCCGCACAACACAGGACGTGGCAAGCAGCGGACAAGAAGGTGGAGGGGGGCAGAGAATGACTGTTTTTGGGGAGCAGCTAAATCCTAGATTGGATTAGCTACAATCAAACCTCCCCCTCGGATTATAAATGGAAGATGAGTTTCACATGTAATTGCATGCATTTCCTTTTACCTCTCACAAGGAATTCCTGGCCATCGACCTTAGATTCGCCTTTTGGTTTCTGCAGCAGGGAGATCCAGTGATGCATCTCCTCAGGGGTGTCGCTGTTGCAGTGAATCACTCGATTTGCTGTGATGATCACAAAAGAATTCGGTCTGCCGGAAAATAAAAGCATCAAAATTGGTCGTAACCATACAAATATCTCAACTCACAGCACACCCAAAGCCATGTCCTCTACCGTCCCATAAAAAAAATGCAGAAAAGATCCGCTGAATACAAACTGCAGAGAAGTGTAGAAACACTTAAAAGCATCTCCTGTGCAGCTTGTCTGCAAACTTATGAATGCAGAGACCAGATAAATGGAATTAAACATCTTTCAAAAGCTATTTCCAAAGACTAGAAAACATTAATTAGCTAATGACCATAATGACCAGCTGTAAAATATCCTGGGTTCCTAAGCAAATGACTTTGTGTTACCTTCTGATTGGACTGAGCTAGTGCTAGTACCACTTGGCTGAGCTAGTACAGCCAGTCTCCTCGTACTTATTAAAACCAGTGATGCAGTAGCAAATGTAGGTCCCAGCAGGGTCAGCTAAAATAGGTTTCAGATTGGTTTTTAAAAGAATGAGCTGATCCTGACAAAACAGAGGAAAAACTGTTATGTTGCTCGTAGATGAATTTGCCCTTCTCTTGCAACAGATAAATGTGTCCTACCAAAAGAATATTCACAATTCTGCACAGAATCGATGCTTTACAGAAAAATGGAAAAAAAAAATATGACCAATTCTAATTAGGAGGACAGACTCAGAAAGCTTTGAAAGCAAACACGGATTTCTATAAGAAAAAAGAGAAATTGAAAAGTAGAATGCAAGTATGAAGCAAAAGGTAAAAGGTGCAAATCAAGCCACTGCATAAACCTATGGAATATAAAAATAAGCTGCCTAAAAACCTTGACTGAAAAACAAGCATTCTCCTCAGAATTTGTTTAATGTTGATTCAAACATTGGTACTCTAGAAGAGCACATCTCAGCAGGTACATGAACAAATTTTGACTCTTCAGCTTACTACTTGTGCCTAGGTTTTTACTGGGACACAGATTAACTATGAGGAGTCCAGGCTGAGAACTGGCTAAAATATTTTGATCAACAAAATCTTAGTTTGCTACTGAGATATGCATTGTCTAAGCTAGTAACCCCAAAGTCGTGGCAACCTGCGTGAGGAAAAAAAACAGACCACAGAGGCAAATAACTTAATAGCTAACATTTTACTTCAGCGCTGTAGTGAGAAGCTTTGCCCTGGCTGAACCTGTTAACACTGTAGGAAATAATTAAATATTAACGTAAACTGATATGAAATGTCCCATAATCTCTTCTCTGAAACTAACCAATCTGTGAACTAAAGGTCTGTGCTCTGTTGCATTGCAAAGATTTCAAGAAGAGTACAGATTTTTAAATTCATCCATTATTCTTCCACAATGTTGGTTTTTTTCCTAAATTTACAATATAAACTCGAAATTACGCTGTTGAAAAACTGGAAGTGCTGCTTTTGCTGGACATTTTTTTTTTTCAGTGTTAATAATAGGTAAGACTATAATTTCCTGACATTGAGATTATGCTGTTCCCACTTTTAAGATGGAACGGAGTATCTGAACTTTCACTCAAAGAAAATACACTTGTGAACTTCATGCCTGTGAAGTGACATAGCTTGAAACAACCTGAAGACTTCAGTTGAGTTTATTTGTTTGGAGATCAATTCTTAGGAGTTTAAACAAATGCAAACCCCAAACAAAACCTGGACCTACCCAGAAAAATATGTCCGAGAGTTTCCAATCTATGAGATGATGAGATTGCTGTACCTACCTATCAGGATTGTCTGAAGCACAGACAGAGTCAATAAGCCCAACATCCAGGGTTCCCTGTACAGTGAGAGAGACACAGATAAGAGGAATTGCTTGCATCTTAAACTACAGACATTCTCCTTCATGAATAGGACTGGAACTGAACACATTCTTCTGAATTCCAATAGCTTGAGCAGAAATGAACATATGAGAAAGGCATGAGTGAGTCATCCTTGCTCCCTAAACAGCATGAGAAGATGTGCAAGGGCTCCACAGGACTGGACAAAAAAAGAGCTACAAATTTCCAGAGATCATTATGAAGGTCTAAAATAACCTCTGCCTCCACTTCTCAGTACTAGCAACACACATAAATACCCTATTCTTCCCACTGTGTGTCTTCTGTCTGGAATAACTGTGACTCAGGCTAGTCCCATAATCCCATCCAAAGACATTTTATCTGCACGAGGCAGCCCCCCTCTCTCCTCCAAACCAAAGAGGAGAGCCATTGGTGATCAAGCTGAGCCACCCACCACAACCACTATGTTCCCCACTGCTTACCATCTTTTGTATCAGCATTGCCGTTTCTTTATAATAATCGTCCACCTTTCTTATACTGCGCATGAACTACAGCACTGCAAGTGCTGGAGAAACATGCATAAAATAGTTAAACACAGAGAGCTCTAAGCATGCCCACAGACTGGTTGCACAGTAACTTACCACAGCATTCTTTGGATTGGCCTGTTCATCTTGCATTTCTCTCAGCTGCTGTGCTGTAGCGCTGTGCACTCGGCTCAGGACATTAAACCAACCGCTGGCAATCAAAACAGACTCAAAGTTAAGATTTGGGTAGTGAAGCTAGCTCTAGAATATGATCAAGGAACCTGGAAAGCTGCCTGTGAGAAAATGTCTTCATTCACAATTTCCTGAGGACTATGCTACAAAATATCTCTTGGGCTGATCATACCAGATTCTAATGTCTTCCTCCTTATTTATCCATGAAAATTCTGTGCATGTTCTCCAATCCACTGACAGCTGCTCCCGCAAAATCCAGTTTTCTACTTGATATTCAAGGAACTGGAAGCAGGCAGTGGCCTCACCAGGGAGCACACGTCAGCAGACTGAGGAGAGCATACAGCAGTTGTAAAGACTGGGTCAGCTGGGAATCTTCCTGGCCTAGAGTCCTAGGGATGTCTGGGAGCCTTCTTAACTAGTCTCTGATCTGCTCAGAAACTTGAAAGTCATATGGCTGTCAATTAATCACGGGGTTTTTGTAAGTTAATTTGGAGTTATTTGTCTGTGAAAGGGCTTCTCGTTACAGACATATCTGGAGGCTAATCTCTGTTGCAGAACAAGCAGATTCTTATCTGCAGCTTCCAGTGAGACCAGCAAACATCTAGACTTCATGGAGGATTCTCAAATTGGATACTCTACAACATCTGCTAACCTGCCCTTTGCTAGCACAAGTGTTGGTGCTTTCTTCTCCCTCAGAACAGAGACTGATATGGCACTGACAGAGGCCACGCTTGGCTTACACTTGCCCTAGCAATTCTGCAGTGCTATCTTAGGGCACGCCTATTCCAGCCGGTGGAAGGTCCGGGTTAGGAAGTTACTGTTTCTTCAGCTACTGCCCCTTGAATTTGCCTGTTTCTTGTTCCTGTGGCCGTTCTTTAGTCTGTTTCTGTTAATTTATTTGTGTCCAAACACTTTCCTCCTTACTCCCCCTACACCCAAATGAAATAACAACAGACCCTAAATAACTTCACAGAATCAGATTAAAGTAGATCAGAGAAACAGTTACACTGGCTGGGTCGAGAGAGCAGAAGCCTTGCTAAGAGTGGGAAAAGTGGGAAGACATGAGCATCTAGGCACAGTAACCTCTTAACTTGGCTTTGCATAGCCAAAACAGGTTGTCCAACCTGCCCTTAAACAACTGATTGCCACTGCCTGGCCAGGACGGCAAGAAGGAAGGACATGAGTCATTTGTTTGCCTTGCACTGGGAAGATTTTATCAGATGACACTACAGACTCTGATAAGCTGCAGCCTTTTCTCTGTCTCCTGGATAAAACCCAGCTGCTCTCGCAATCATTTACAGACAACATGAATAGACTTTTTGTTTGATTCAAGATTCCATTTAATAAATAAATCAGCTATTAGATGTTCCAGTTTATATTAAGGTTTTGTGTGTCTCCTGAAGTAACCCTTGAATTCAGCATGCTCACAGCCACATAAGAAGGTGGCAGTCCTGTGACCGACAGATAGGCTGAACCACCATCTTGGCAGCTGCAACAGGGAGTCTCCAAAGCAGGTGGGGTACCTCCCAGTAAGCACAAAATGACACTCTGGAACAAATCCCCTCTTTTCACCAGCAAAAGGGAATTGATTATGTTTCCCAGGCTCTCCCATGAGCAGTTGGGTCAGACCTGCACTGAATGAACAAACCTAACAAAACTCCCTCTTATACCTGGCATCTTCTGGTGACTCTGCGACGATGTGATAAACTCTGTCTTCTGTCACTATGTCCAAGGCATTCTCCTTTTCATGAATGTCCACAATCTCCCTGGAACACAGCAAATCACAAGAGCCAAAACTTAAAACCTTTCACAGGCATAAATTCCATCTGGCCAATTTTTTTCACATCGTACCATTCACCACACAAAAGGGAAATCACTCGTTCAGATGGCTTCTAACTCTGACAGAAACACAAAATTCCTCTAATACACATTAAGACTTTTAGGGTCCCTTTAAAAAGATGTGTACAGTTAATCTGCTACAAATGCAAAGCTTAAGGTGTTAAATGGATTTTCTTCAAGACACCAGCAGACTAGATGGAAGAAGTGATAAGAGGGAAGTTGATACAGAGGGCTGTTTACAAAGTGGGGTGTGCCGCTCTTTTTGGCACTTTACAGGCCCACGTGACGCTAATCGGTGGCTAGTCTCTCCTTTCTTACAGCAGGAGCTGAGGAATTGGCTATGGCAGCAAAAAGAGCATTCAGGGCTCCGGAAAAGGCATAGTATATGCTGCCAAATTCAAATCCTGCTGTGAGCTTCATACCACCTCTATGAAATGCCTGGAGAAGCCAGGAAACAGATGGAGTCAGGGCAGGGGAGAACGCATGGGATATGTACTTAATTAGCCCCTCCTGGTCTGGCTCCATCCATGGCTTGGAAAGAGCTTCTGCCGGATTATGAAATGCAAGACTGGAAAAAGAACTATCAAGTAATTCCAGACTCCCTCCAGAGTAAAACTAGAAGCTCTAATTGTCTTTTCCTTCCCTTACGTTTCTGATTCTCCTAGCCCTATAGGAGATATGTAGGCCAATAAACTGGCATCATTATTGATTTAGAGAGTAAATACTAGGGATCAAAAGGATTTATTCTTCACTCACTTTGCCCTTCTGATATCAATTGTCCCCTTCAGCTTTTCCTCGCTATCATTCTCAAAGTACATCAGCTTGGATTCTCGAAGCACAAACCAACGGCGTTTCCAGTTGCGGCGTGAAAGTGTTGACATGCCTCCACCCTTTTTATAGAGCCAGCCGGACTTCAGTGCCTCTTGCTTGGTGCGGAACCACATGAAGGCCTCGTTCTTCAGAACACACCAGCGCCGCCTCCATGGGTTCATGAGACCTCCTGCAAAGCGAGGGAGCAAGATTTCATCAGACATGCAATAAGGGCCATGTTTCCATTCTGATCCTGCTTCATGGGCACTTAGGTGCCACTTCAGTTCCTAACATGAAACAAAAGGAGCTGAGAGAGAGAAACAAGTTTATGCTTAAGTTTGGACAGAGAAAAAGCAGAACAAACTAGTGAAACAAACACAAAATATAGAAATATATGCACGGCTCAAGTATTTTTTTATTGTCTTCAGTTTTGTAGCTCAGAATGAGTCATTTAAGCCCATACCAAGTGGGCACAACTAGGTCTCAATGGCAAAGATATCCAGTCTAATTCCCTGACATCCACCTCCTAGCTCTTTGTTTTACTTGCTTGTTTTAAATAAAAGAAGAAAAAAAAAAAAAAAGAGAGAAAACAGAACTACAAGCAGATGAAGATGATGATTCTGGAGAAACAGAAGAGGAAAGCGCGTTTCCCGGATTCCATCATTCCGTGGCTTTGGCTAAAGCCTCTTACCCTTCATGTAGAGATAGCTGTGAAAATAGGGTGGTCCTGAGCCATTGAAGATAGTGACTCGCCCATTACAAAACTCTTCATCTGTATCAATGTAAACATCCACTTCTTCTTCTTCACTGTCCAGAAACTAAAAGGAAAAGAAGAAATACAGGCTACTTGGTTTCTCCTGGTCACAGGAGGACTGGAGCAAAGTAACAAGGCTAGAGAAGTCACATGATCAGAAGGTGCAAAACCACACATACTCCCTTTACAAAAAAAGCAATACAGTAAAACTAAAGGCTTGACAGCTTACCCATTAATGCCTAAAGCAAGAGTCTCCAGAGCATGGAATTTTCATACCAGCAAGGACAGCAACATTCGGCAGTGGACATGGCTAGAAAACTCCAGTTACCTGCAGTAACAAACCTTCCTGTTTTAAGGCAGAGCCCACAGTCCAAAATTTGACTGAGAGTAAACAGAACTACAAGCAGATGAAGATGATGATTCTGGAGAAACAGAAGAGGAAAGCGCGTTTCCCGGATTCCATCATTCCGTGGCTTTGGCTAAAGCCTCTTACCCTTCATGTAGAGATAGCTGTGAAAATAGGGTGGTCCTGAGCCATTGAAGATAGTGACTCGCCCATTACAAAACTCTTCATCTGTATCAATGTAAACATCCACTTCTTCTTCTTCACTGTCCAGAAACTAAAAGGAAAAGAAGAAATACAGGCTACTTGGTTTCTCCTGGTCACAGGAGGACTGGAGCAAAGTAACAAGGCTAGAGAAGTCACATGATCAGAAGGTGCAAAACCACACATACTCCCTTTACAAAAAAAGCAATACAGTAAAACTAAAGGCTTGACAGCTTACCCATTAATGCCTAAAGCAAGAGTCTCCAGAGCATGGAATTTTCATACCAGCAAGGACAGCAACATTCGGCAGTGGACATGGCTAGAAAACTCCAGTTACCTGCAGTAACAAACCTTCCTGTTTTAAGGCAGAGCCCACAGTCCAAAATTTGACTTAATGGGATTAAGAGAGAATTTTTCATTTTGGAGGATTTTTCTGACTTTTTTGGCAGACATGCCAAGATGCTGGACAAGATGGAGCACTAGTCTAATCCCAGCAAGGAAATGCCTTGCTTTGGGTTGATTAGGAAAAAACCACACATTCCAGGATAACTGAACCCTAAAAACAAAGATCTAAACTACTGAAATAATAGTACAGTATTTACTCATCCCTGTTCTCTAACTAGATAATGGCCCTCAGCCATAAGAAAGTACTTCACACATGAAATCCCAAATTACCCTATCATTTCCTTTGCCTTAAATACAACTTCCTTTGATTGGCTTCATTAATTTAATACTAATGAAGGCAGCTCCTTAGACCTTTTCCTCCCTCAGATGCATGTTGCTTCTTTTCGGTTTTCCTTTCTGTCCTCTCTCTGTGACCCCTTTGCGCTCCTCTTTTGTCTCATTTCTGTTCCACTCGTTCCTTGTCCCTCTCTTGCCTTTAAGTCTCAAAAAGGAGGCACTCTTGCATCAGCAGCTACTGATGGGACCTTGACCCAGCTGCAGTTATCTCTTGCTGTGGCTCTTGCCATGACATAGTATCAACCGGAATTTTTCATGAGTCTTACTCACTGAGGAGCCCAATAAAATCCTCCACTTCTATTTATATTTTAAGAAGAATGGTAGCAACTGGCCTAGGCTGTGACAGAATGATTCATGACTTGAAGATTACCTGACAGTCATCTGTGAGTACCTGCCCACAGACAAGGTACCTTTACTCAAGCAGATCAAATCATAAATAATTCTGATGGCTGGCAGCTGACATTAAGGAAATGCGAACAGGAGAAATCACGCAACTTTTTAAGAAGGGTCACAATCCACCATTGGAAAAGAACAGCAAAGGAAGTAAATTGAAATCCTTAAAAAAAAATAAAAAAAATCAATGGTTTTCTAAAAGATATTTTTTAGTTCAACTCTATTTTCAGGGACATCATTTATCTGAGGTATTTTTATGGCTGTCATTGGCTTCACACCTGAACTCTTCACAATCTTATATGGGCTTAGCTGACATCCTGTTCTGTAAGGGGATTTATCGTTGCATTATTAAGCAACTAGCCTGAGGGCGCTCGGGAAGTCCAGAGCCTAGTGTGGGATCTAAGCTGAGATGCTTCAAGTGCGAGGCTAATAGCCCAGCTTTACTACCCCGTCATTGTCCCTGCGGTAGGAATGAAAAGGTTCGCTGGTATTAGTTGTGTGCACCGGGACCCAGCCTGGATCAGCACAGTAATTTCTTCAAGCCTTAGAATAGCTTAACTTGTACACAGCAGCTGAAAATAAACCCTTGACTCTGAACAGTAACAGGAGTACAACAAGAGAAGTTTTAGTGATGGAAACAAATCAAACCCCAGCCTTCCCCATTTCTTCTTGTGATTGTCCACTAGAAGCTCAGGCTACTTCTGTGAAATCTCTCTAAGGCAGAACATATACCTACAAGATACTAGTTGCCTGCTTTCAGTCTTCCTAAAGGGTGTTACGTTAACATATGGTGATGGACACAATCTAAAATAGCCTAGGTAACTACGTGCTAGCTTGCGTACCAGTAACAGTGGACAGTCACAAGCCCTCTGGCCTTCAGCCTATCTGACTCTTCCCTTTTTTTCAAGCTGATTACTGACGTAAGAGAGAGTTATGTATTAGTAGCAATACCCAGAGCAAGCAGGCATACAGCAAGAAGGCAAGGATGTTAGAGATATCAACAAAGTCACACTAATGTCCAGAAAGGTGAAGTGAAGGATTCTTACCGAGTCCAGGCTGCCACGGTTGGAGTCCAGGCTGGTACCATGGGAGTGTCTCAGACCTTCCTCACCGTTCAGGGGCTCAGCTGAGGCGCTACCTCCATCTCCACAGCCATCGAACTCCTCATGGTCATAGTCAGACTCCACATCCGGGGGGGAAGTGTAAATCGTCTCTCCCACCTCTCCGCTCTTACTCCTCTGCGTATCTGAGACAGTGCTGTAAATGCTTTCTGCTGGGTCAGGTAGGGCTCTCTGCTCCTTGGGGCTAGCGGTTCTTTCCACAGGTTGTCCTGGAGCAGGGACCACCTCTCCCACCTCCCTTTGGAGAAGTGAAAGGCTTGTGTCCGCACCTTCCTCTGAGTAATTACTGCTGTTTCTTGTGCCATGCTGATTCAAGACCACCAAACTGGAAGCTGGTCGTCCTTCGTCATCAGCGTGAAAACCCTCATCCACTTCTTCTTCAGCTAGTGGTGCCACCAGGCTGCAGTCAATGTTGAGTGTCCCCTCACTAGAAAGTGAGCGCTCTAAGTTCTGCACACTTTCATCCAGATTGCCAAAATCCAGCAGCTCCAAGAACTCCTGGGCAACCCTCGATGCCTCTTTTTCCAGCCTCTGGATCTCTTCTTCTCGCTGCCGATTGATTTCATTCCTGGTGTTTTCACAGATTATAGACATGTGATCCTCCTTCTGTTGCTGCAACTTCTCAATCTCCTTCTCCAATCTTAAGATCTCCTCCATCTGACGTCTCTCTTCTTCTTGCAGGGGAATATCTACCTCCTCAGTCTTTACTGCTTCCACCTTAAAGAATTTATAATAGTGTTAAAGCAGTTTCTTCAACCTATATGTGTTCCTTGTCTGGACCTTTCATTCTTCCTACCTCCTGTGCTTGCCTTGTACTTCCCATCTGCAAAAAGATGACTCTAAGCATCCTCTCCTTTTCTGACCAGCATCTGCCATCATCCATGGTGTAAAAGCTAAAGGTATAACTACGGGATCTTCAGGTACCTCCTTTTTTTCCAGCAGCCTACCTCCTTTCTGAATTGTACAAAGTAGCTCATTGGGATCAGTGAATTTTTAGAAGAGCCCCTCTGTCCGCTGCTCACGTTACACCTCTTTGTACACTACAATTTGGATAACAGCATTCTGAAAGTCCATCCTCTCTTTTTAAACTATCTCACATACATACACACATAGAGGAGAAAGCAACTATATACGAATACATATATGCATAGCCTGCTTAAAAGCTGAAGATTTCCCAGAAATGCATTAAAACATTTGGGGATTTCGTTGTTTCCTAAGTTAGAGGTCTGACCATCAGAATCTAGGTCTGGAAGGGATATTTGCAATGAAGCAGGACTGTATCCACTCCAACCCCACCCTACCAAAACTCCACCCGGAATTTCTTGGCATTCTTTAGCAGCACTGGATGGATGATGGCTGGCTGGCTGCTGAAGACTCTGTCTTCCTCTGTTCTCCACACTGAAGTAACAGGAAATTTCTAGCAAGTACACAATAATTAGAAGATGGAAGATACTGGTAACTTTCACTGACATTTAGCTATAAGATAAAGCCACCCTCCCCTCCACGGAGGATGTTGAAAACATACACACACAAGAAAAAGCAAAAATAAATTTCAAAAGTATTTAATGTACTTCCTGATAGGAGTATGACAATGCAGCCAATGAACTGGCCCATTTAAGCCACAATCCTTGTTTTCTTTACAGTTACCCTGTTGCTTGTTCTCTACTTGACTCTGACTTGTGGACAAATCTGTCATCTCTCCTGAACAGAGCTGGCCTGAAACTGGCGAACAAGTGGTTTGGGAAAAGAAATAAGAGGATACACAGCTGTTTTCACAAACCTCAGGGTAGGTGGTCTGCTCTTTGATATATCAAGTACCAACAAACAATTAGATCAGTTACAAGGGGTTTATTTTAGCCATGGTAGCAGCCTTCTGCACTCTTATTTTCGCTGTTACAGGCAACAATCCAGCAAAAGAGACTGTGTCGCAGAGTAGCACATCACAAGGTCATGTAATAAGCTCGAGCAGTAGAGATAAAAAAGAATGCTGCATGTTCGATACAGAAATTTTCAAATAGGAACTATGCAAGCTGGTACCTGAGCCTTGAAAAATACCCCACCTTGTCAACTCTATGCACCTCTGCCAAAGCCAAATACCTGCAGGTTTTGAGTGAACAAAGCCCATTTTTTAAATAGTGTTGCCACAATACAATATTAGCTCCAGGCAAAGTGTGGGCAATGGAGGACCCTTCACAGACACTCAGAGAAGACATATGAAAAGAGTAACTGTTAAACTTACCTGAGCCACCTGGAGTAGCACTTTCAGTTGCTCCTTTTCCCTGTTAAAAAACAAGACATGATAGTCAGAGACAGACCCCGTTCTTCTACATGAGGCTTTTAGAATTACATGGACGTATCATCCCTCCACGGATAAGGTTAAAATAAGGTACCTGTTGTAAGACTGATTTAAAAGCTTTTGTAATTTAGTAAAAACCCAATTCTCTGTGGTTGGCATGACCTTTGTGGATACAGCAGATTTTCCTCACGCACTTAACTTTCAGATCAATCAGGAAATTGGATTAGTTGGAACACACTAGGAAGGACATTGGAAACAGTGACAGAAGGCAGATCAGTTAGACTCATGATAAATGCAAACAGAGTCTTCTGAAGTACTTTACATCCATGGATATTAAATGAGGTTGTACGTGCACAATTGACAGATACCAGGAAATTGCGTTTGTTTTTTTTAAAACAGAACAGACTTATTGCAATACCAGCACTGAATTTGTGGTTCATTTTGCTTTTACTATACTAAAGCCCCCAAAAAGTTATCCAATTTTTGTACTTTGTTAAAGTAACTAAGCTGAGGACTTTCAATTCTGAAGACCTGGGTACTCCAGCTTGCATAACTTCTCAGTGGCATGCAAAAACCTAGTTTACCAGTAAAGGCTGCAAGAGTCAGAGTTTGTTAGTAAACACAAGCAGAAGGAAAAAAACTATCCCACGGTGCTGCATCTCCACTCAGATCAAAAAGGTTATACTCCAAGGGGAAGCTGTCACTATGGCCAGTTTCTCCACAGTGAGCATCCTACAAGCAACTGAACTAGGAGACAGACAAATGCCAGAGTCGTGCACAGGGAGCAGGGATAGGATGTGGCTGGATGGAAGAGTTTGCCTGTAGCAACCACTGTGCAGCTAAATTCAGACTGGCAGTGGTAACTTTCAAATCTATGATTCAACCTCAAGCAAAACAGGAGGGCACCAATATTTATTTCCCAGGCCCTGCAGCTTTTCCCAGACAAACTCTAAATTGCAGTTGCAAGTCACAGAGTCTTTAAAGTTCTCACTCTTGCGCTCGCTCTCTCAAAAAAAAAAAAATATCCAGGGAATGTTTATAAATGAAAGCTGACATAAGTGAGATCCAGATGGTTCCAACTCTGCTGAAAGATCTCTAACAGTAGTCCTGAGTTAAACAACTGCCTTAAATGATATGAGGGTTCAAGAAGCAGAGCTGTTTTAAAACAGATCAGGAATACCACCTACAATCTACACACTAATTCCTGCAACTGTTCCTCACATTTTTTAGACCTCTGATATTTCTTGCTGCTTTCCATCCATCTCCAACTGATTCGCACTCTTCCTGAAACGTGATACCCAAAACCAGGGCCAGTACTCCAACTGAAGCCTGAACAGTGCCAAGCGGAACAGAAGAATCACCCCATTTCTTACAGAAACAATCTTGTGTACGGACGGCATTTGCTTTCTCCTCTCACACAGCATGACACTGGTGACTAATACTCAACTTAGCCTCCAGACCTTCTTCCTGCTGTTGAAGCCGGCATTCC